AATTAATCATGATTAATTTTTGGAAAGGGCTGCCATCACATGTATGCCTCCTCCCTCCGCAGGTGCCATCTCAGCCTGCTGCCAGCACCACTCCCTTTTGTATCCAGCAGCAACTTTGTGCTGTACTCCCTCGCCAGTTGCTGCTGGATACAAAAGGGAGTGGTGCTGGCAGCAGGCTGAGATGGCACCTGCGGAGGGAGGAGGCATACATGTGATGGCAGCCCCTTTCCAAAAATTAATCATGATTAATTGCAGTGTTAATCGCACTGTTAAACAATATAATACCAATTTAAATGTATTAAATATTTTGGATGTTTCCCTATATTTTAAAATAAATATGTTGATTTCAGTTGCAACACAGAATACAAAGTGTACAGTGCTCACATATTATTTTTATTACAATATTTGCACTGTAAAAATGGTAAACAAAAGAAATAGTATTTTTCAATTTACCTCATACAAGTACTGTAGTGCCATCTCTTTATCATGAAAGTGCAACTTACAAATGTAGAATTTTTTTGTTACATAAATGAACTCAAAAACAAAACAAAGTAAAACTTTAGAGCCTACAAGTCCACTCAGTCCTACTTCTTGTTCAGCCAATCACTAAGAGAAACAAGTTTGTTTACATTTACAGGAGATAATGCTGCCCGCTTCTTATTTACAATGTCACCTGAAAGTGAGAATAGGCATTCGCATAGCACTTTTGTAACCGGCTTTGCAAGGTATTTACGTGCCATATATGCTAAACATTCATATGCCCTTTCATGCTTCGGCCACCATTCCAGAGGACATGCTTCCATGCTGATGATGCTCATTAAAAAAATAATGTGTTAATTACTTAGTGACTGAACTCCTTGGAGGAGAATTTTCTGTCTCCTGCTTTGATTTACCCGTATTCTGCCATATATTTCATGTTATAGCAGTCTTGGATGATGACCCAGCACATGTTGTTCATTTTAAGAACACTTTCACTGCAGATTTGACAAAAACGCAAAGAAGGTACCAATGTGAGATTTCTATAGATAGCTACAGTTCTCGAACCAAGGTTTAAAAATCTAAAGTGCTTTCCAGAATCTGAGAGGGACAAGGTATGGAGCATGCTTTCAAAAGTCTTAAAAGAGCAACACTCTGAGGTGGAAACTACAGAACCCAAACCACCAAAAAAGAAAATCAACCTTCTGCAGGTGGCATCTGATTCAGATGATGAAAATGAACATGCGTCAGCCCACACTGCTTTGATCATTATCAAGCAGAACCCGTCATCAGCATGGATGCGTCCCCTTTGGAATGGTGGCTGAAGCATGAAGGGACATATGAATCTTTAGTAGGGTTACCATACATCCGTATTTTCCTGGACATGTCCTGCTTTTTAGTTGTTAATCACCGTCTGGGAGGATTTTTTAAATATATATAAATGTCCAGAAAATATGGAGGTATGATAACCCTACCCACTGCCCCCTCTCCTCTTGGGGTGTCAGCTCGCTGCAGCCTGCGGATTGCAAATCCCCTCCCCCCGTGCTGCTGCAACCCCACGCCCGCGGTGGCGTCTCTGCAGGCAGCTGCAGGGGACCCCTGGCCGCTTCTCCCTCCTCCGAGCATTCCCCGCGGCTCTGGCAGAGCCTCAGTCTCCCCCCCTCCGTCCCGGCCATGCAAGAAGCCCCCTCACCAGCGGTCCGTGCAGCCGGGGCTGCCTTCCCCACCCCCCGGGGAGCCGGTGCTGGGGGAAGTTTCTCGGCGCGCGGTGGCTGCTCCCGGGAGCCTGAGCTCCCCCACCAGGGACGGGCCCACGTTGCAGCACCTCCCGCAGCCACCTGGCCTGAGCTGCTGCAGCTTCGCCGAGTCCAGCTGGGAGCGGGGTGGAGGCTCCCCTCAGCCCGGGGGCATGGCCTAGGCCACGCACGCAGCACTTCTCTGCTCCAGCCCGGCCAGAGAGGGAGCCTGCGGCTGGGGTGCAGCCTCGCAGGTGGGAGCGCGCTGGGGCTGGGATGCCCAGCTCGGGGGCAGGCCCGGGGCCTAAAGCAACTTCCCGCCCCCCGGCTCCGGCTGCTGCTGCGCCTAGCCAGGGGCGCAGGGACTGGAGAGTGGTGGGAGCCCGGGGAGGAAGCGGCTGTTTTGGGTGGCTGCGAGGGAGGGGGAATGTGGCGAGCTCAGGGGAGGAGGCGGGGCTGGGATTTGGGGAAGGGGGCCAATAGGGCAGAGAGGGGGCGGAGTTGGGACAGGGACTTTGGGTGGTGAAGGGGTTGGAATGGGGGCGGGGAAGGGGCGGAGCCAGGGGCCCCATGGAATGTCCTCCTTTTTCAGTGTACCAATATGGTAACCCTATCTTTAGTGCATCTGGCACGTAAATGTCTTGCAACGTCGGCTACAACAGTGCCATGCGAATGCCTATTCTCACTTTCAGGTGACATTGTAAACAAGAAGCAGGCAGCATTATCTCCTGCAAATGTAAACAAGCTTGTTTGTCTGAGCGATTGGCTGAACAAGAAGTAGGACTGAGTGGACTTGCAGGCTCTAAAGTTTTACATTGTTTTGTTTTTTAATTCAATTTTTGGTACATAATTCTATATATGTAAGTTCAACTTTCCTGATAAGGAGATTTCACTACAGTACTTGTGTTAGGTGAATTGAAAAATACTGTTTCTTTTGTTTTTACAGTGCAAATATTTGTAATAAAAATAAATATAAAGTGAGCACTGTACACTTTGTATTCTGTGTTGTAACTAAAATCAATATTTTTTAAAATGTAGAAAACATCCAAATGGTATTCTATTATTGTTTAACAGTGCAATTAATCATGCGATTAATCACAATTAATTTTTTAAATCGCGTGATTAATTGTGATTAATTTTTTTAATCACTTGGCAGCCCCACTTTGCAGACTCAAGCAGACATCACTGCATCTGCAACACTAGGTAACATTTTAAATGTTACTTATTATCACAAGGATTAGAAACTTACTTAAAAAAACTGAGTGTTGTCAGCTCTCTGGATATTTGGATTTCTCTTAAATTCCAGCTCCTGAGGCATGGGATCACATTAGAAAAATCTCACTTTCATTTAAGAAAAGAAGAAAAGTTGCCAATCCTCATGGTTGTGGAGAAAAGCTTGAAAATTTAACCCTCAAAGTACTGTAATGACTTCAAAAGCAAAAGGCAAAGAAAAAGAACTAAAAGTTATAATTAAAAAAAACCCTCATAATTTTTAAGCCACTCATTTTTTGGCTTGGGATTCCCAGTACAGCTGACGTAG